GTGTCTTTACCTTGAAGCTACCTTTGAATGTTGGTGTGTACAAATGACACAGAGCAAAAAGAAGGGGAGAGGAAGCAGGGGCTAGTTCCTTAGCCACTAGATCTTCAAGAAGAGATAAAAATTCTGAGTTGTGAAGCCCCCACTGCATGCCCAATCTTCACACCCCTATGCAGGAGATGCTACTCTTATCCCCATTTCACAAACAAGAGCATTGTGGATCCTAGACATTAAATCAGTGGCCCGAAGCACATATGGAGGGGCTGAGCAGGACTTGAATGCAAGTTGGCCTAAATAACACAGCAAAGTTCACCAGTCTCTTTCAGAGAGAGATGAGGTGACTTAGAGTGAAGTGGGACAGTATGGAAGTGATTGGCCAACTTCAAAAGGGATGAAGGAACTTTTTTCCAAACAAATAATTGTTCTGTTTAGAAAGTCACATGAAGACAGCAGGGGGCAGAAGCAAAGACTCATGTTTTCATCCCCAGGAGTTCCAGTGTCATTTCAGTTGTGCCAGTGCCATTTGTTGGAAAGACTATCCTTTCTTCATGAGTTGCCTTAGAACCTTTGTAAAATAATCAGCTGAGCATACATTTTTGGGTCTATTTCTGGACTCTCTGTTCCATTGATCTATTTGACTATCATGATGTCAGTATGACACTGTTTTGATTACTGTAGCTTTGCAATAAGTTTTGAAATTAAGAATTGCAAGTCCTCCAACTTTTCCTTTTTCAGATTTGCTTTGGCTATTCTAGGTCCTTTGCATTTCCATCTGAATTTCAGAATGAGATCATCAATTTATCCAAAAAAGATTGCTGCAACTTTGATTGTGTTGTGTCTACAAATCAATTCAGAGGGAACTGACATCTTAGTAACATGAAGTCTTCAGATCCATGAACATGGTGTATCTCTCATTTATGTAGGTCTTCTTTAATTTCTCTCAGTTGTTTTGTAGTTTTTGTTGAACAGGTTTTGTATGATTTTTTGTCAGATTTATCCCTAAGTAGTATATATTTTTTGATGCTAATGTCAATGGTATTTTAAATTTCAATTTTCTATCGTTGATTATTAGTATATAGAATTACAGTTAATTTTTGTATATTGAACTTAGATCCTGCAACCATGTTAAATTCACATATTTGTTCTAGTAGCATTTTTTTTTTGTAGATATCATAGGATTTTCTACATAGATGATATCATCTGCAAATAAAGAGTTTTCTGCATGCCTGTGTTCAAGGAGGCTGCATTCTAATGAGCTCCATCCTCAGGCTGTTGGAGGGAAATAGAGGGACAGTCCAATATGAGGATGATCAAGTCCTACAAGTTATCCTCACGGCAGCAGATCCAGAGGTCTAGAGGTTTCACTAAGGCTAATGTTAAAGTGGATTGATATTCTATTAATATTGGAGGACACCCTCAGAAAGATCACTGGATAATATGTACTTACCATGGTCAGAAGCCCAGATGAGGGCTGGGTGAAGCCAAAAATATCCAGTTCTGGGTTAGAAAAACATCCAAAAATTCCTTCTCCAAAGCACTACCTTCTCTCTGACCTCCACAAAGCCTCCTTCCTGGTTTCCAAGATTCTCATTGTGCCCCCTCCAATCCCATCTCCTTTGAGCCAGATTGTGCAAAAATATAAATCTTACAATGCTTGACCTTGCACTTTGAATAACATCCAAACTCCTTGCCCAGGCCTAAGCAGCTCAGATCATCCAACTTCCCCTCCCACCCCCACCTGTCAGGTTCATTCCAAGCTGCTCTCCCCACGCCCCTCTTCTCCCCACCACTTATTCCCTGGCTAAGTCCTCCTTCTCACTTCTTCCCAAGCTTTTCCTGACACTCTCAACTGATGTTCAGTCTCAGAGCATCCCAGTTCCTTCCTGCCTTGCAGTCACTGTATTTGTCATTTAACTTTACACTAAAGTGGTGCCATGAGAGACAGGACCACTGCTGTTTTGTTTCCCAACCTGTTTTCAGTGTCTGACAAGCAGTGTGCACTCAGTAAATGGCTGGAATGGCTACTTGAGCTCCCTATACCTACCTATTTGCCAACACCACCCCACCCCCGCCCAGCCTTTGTGAATGACCTTAACAATATATCTTAGGCTTCTTTTCCCATAGAAAGGTAGTTCAAACTTTGACTGTGGGTTCAAATCTCCCCAGGTGATTCTAGAAACTACTAATGCTTGGACTCTACCCCAGACCATTGAAATCCGAGTTTCTTGGGGTAAGGCCCCTGTACTTGTTTTTAAAGCTCTCTAGGTGATTCTAATGGGCATACGGAATTGAGAACAACTGCTGCAGAAGAAGAAAAAGCATGCTTTCATCCAGGTGGGTATAAAAAGCCATGGATGGGCTCACTCAGGAAGGAAGCACGTGAGAAACGTGAGGACTTGGGACTTCTCCCAACTCAGCCTCCTGCAAGAGTTCACCTTTCTCCTGAGCTCACTCCATTCCAATGGAGCAGGAAGAAAGAAGGAAACCAGACCAGAGTGGAAAGCATTTTCAAACTTTATTTACAACTGTCACAGTGACAAAAAGTAGTTTGGAAAAAAAAAATGCTAGTTTCTCCCTGAGCCTCAAAAAAGAACAGATAGAAGTTACAGGAGGTTCATCTCACAACAGGCATTTTTACTGAAATACTAGAATTTTTTTCAATACGATCAGTTAGAAATACACACAAATTACTTAAAAAACAAAACAAAAAAAAAGAGGCCAGACAGGAGCTCAGCCACTTGTCCAGGAGCAGCTGGGTCTCCCTCCAGAGACTCAACCACTGAGGGTCCTGACCTTAGCTGTCAGCCCCTCGCCTGCTGAGACTGCACACGGTCGTACAAAGTGGTCTAGTGACCGGCAAAAATAATAAACCAACCCCACAAACACATATACACAAAGTAGATTTGTTACGCAGTTTACAAGCACATTCCCATCACATGGCAAGACCAGGACAGATGTTCCAGGGTAGCAGATGAGAGGGAGACACCAAAACACAGGAATTGAAAAGGCAAGATCCCCATCCATCCACAAAGGGAGGCAAGGGATGAGAAACGCTGCGAGCGGATGACAATGAGCGACTCTCCGCAGCCAACAGAGCAAATGGGGGAGCAGGAAAGAGAACCCCTCGCATCGCAGGTGGGAGGCCTCTCTCCTGCGAGGAGCTGGAAGAAGTTATTGCCATCGGTGTGTGTAACACAGGCAGACCACAGAGAAAGGAAGCAGGGGGTGAGGGTGAGCTTTGGCTTCCCCACACTAAATCCTGCTGACTGCCTTATCAACAGCATACCCTTGTCCTCCTGTCCCAATGTCCCCCAGAAACACAGTGACCTTGAGGTATTAAATTCAGCTATACACACAAGTCCAAAACCGGGGTCAACCCAGACTGACCGGAGACGTGGGGGAACATGGTGAGTGCCTTGATTGGCCAAGTTCAGCCCAAGGCAGGCTCTAAGTCCACCTCTTGGCCACACAGTCCTGCTCTGAGATAGAGATGGCTCAAAGAATTTGTCCTGCAACATGCAGCTCCAGATGGTTCCTAACTATGCTAGAAAGCTCTAAGTGCAAAGGCTAACTTTCTCATGCAACTGGTGCCCTTGCAGGAAATAGGTGGGGGTGGGAGGGATGCAGACCACAATTCAGCAGGGACATCAGTGCTTCCCTCACCCCGCCTTCCTCCCACCCTCATCCAGGAACAACAGGGGGAGAAGCCAGGTATCTCATGACACCTTTTAGTTTCAAACTTGATCCCAAGACTGCTACATGAGCACCTTGGCACCCCTGTGCAGTAATTCCCAGGCTGTGACAGCTCTTAGGACCTGCATAAAATCTTCCCCAAAAAGAAGCAGAAAAAGTGCCTCTGCTCTCCACTCAGCTCCCACAAGAAAAACTGGCCAAACATCCACATGAGAGCGGGTACTGTAGTGGGTCAGGCTGCCTGGACTCTGCAGCAAAGCCAGGGACCCATGTGCCCACTGCTATGGCCAGGGTCCGGGAGGGTGGTGGTGATGAGAAGGAAGAGCCTGCCCACTTGTGCCTCTGCTCTGACTCTGAGAGCCAGTCCTGTGAGGGCAGCAGTGGAGGGAGGGACCTTTGTGCCCAAGTGTCCCTGCAGGGCCTCCACTATGGGCAGGAAGTGCTCTTGCTAACTCCCCACAGTGCTGAGAGGCAAAAAGAATAAATCAGGAGAGAAAAGCTCAAAAGCGCTGCCTCTTAAAAACCTCCAGATTCCCTCAGCTGTGTGAGCCTCCCACAGTTGGGAGCAGAGTCCTTGGAGAAGGACGGGGACCCTTCCTGCACATCACCTCCAGCTGGCTACGCAAGCAGCCAGGTTCTCCTGCTCTCCTTTACCCTCCTGCTGTCACAGACCAACAGGCCTGAACTAAAAGCAAGGGGCGGTAGTGGGTGAAACCAGAGAGAGATGAAGACTCGGTTTTCTGATGCCCCAGCAGCCAGAGCCAATGTTTGCAGAGTACTTCCTGGCTGCAGCTCTCTGCTCGATGTTTTCTTAAAAACATGCATTATCTCTTTTGCCTAGTGTTTGTTTTCTTACCCAAAATGTTCCTTGCTTGCTTTGCACACCCCCCATCCCCCCACCCCCCAGAGCCCACTGGAATCCCACCGCTGCCTCTTGCTGCTTGAGTTCAGATAATGATCTCAAAAACAGCACCCGCTTCCCCCACCCCCCTCTCTGGCTCTAAGCCGCTTCCTTTCTCAGAAGGCCTTGCAAATGGTCGCAGAGGGCTCCACTGCTTGAGAAATCTCAAAAAAAAGACAAGAAAAGAAAAGAAAACCAACTCGGTGATTTGCAGGTGCAAAACAGAAGCCTTGCTTGACATTTGCAGAACTATTGTGGCTCCCTCTCTTCTTCCATGGCGATGGGAAAAACACAGTTCAGGTGCAGAGGCTGGCGGGCACGACCCCGTGGGAGTCCACAGGACTCTACTGCTCCTTGTCTTCTTTCACCGTCTCTTCGCAGTTGTCTTGCTCATCCTCCTGGACCAAGAATTCCTCGGGGGGCCACCGGAGCTCCCCACTCTCCACCTCCCCCTCTGTGGGTTCCACCACTATGGAGGGCAGGCGGTCCTTCAGTTTGCAGCAGCGGTCAAAGTCGGATGGGTCGGGGAAGATCTGAAATAAAAGCAGAGCAGGAAGCCGGTCATGTACATATTTGAAAAGAGAAACTCAGTTCCTTCTCTTCACATCCACATGGCATACACAGCACCTGCCGTATGCCAGGGACTGTGCTATTCCCTTGGGATTGCAGGAGGCATACAGCAGGGACCTGGGGAATAAATTCTGGGGCCACACAGGACTCTGTCCTTCAGCCAGACTTTGATTCTAATCCTAAAGCTGAAAGTTTTGGGGCAGTGCCACTGAGTCTAAAAGTTTGGTGGAATGCTGTTTGTACTCTATTTTATTTTATTTTCAGATAAAAGAATTCAAAATCATGCCACCCACAGTAAGTCATGTCTCTCTCTGCAGCAAGCATTTAACGCCAGCAGTTTAAAGGATACAACAGGTACCATAACATTAAGTTCTTCCCAGGATGTTTATTGGCACCTAGGATGAACAGGCTACCACGTGCTTTACATATATAATTTCTTTTTTTCTTTTTCTTTTTTTTGTCTTTTTTCGTGTCCGGCAACGGATCGCAACCCTCAGTGTCGCGCCCATACCGGACCGGGACCGGCAACGGGATCGCAACCCTCAGTACTGCACCCGCACCTCACTCAGCCAGTGAGTGGGAACCGGTCTGTATGTGGGATCTGAACCCTTGGCGGGAGCGCCACCGCGCTCCCAAGCGGCGCACTGTAGCAGTGTGCCACTGGGCCGGCCCTACATATATAATTTCAAACCAACACAGTCACGCTGAAAAATAGGTGTTGCTAATGTTGTTTTAAAGAATCTCAGGCCTGGGGAAGTAGGTTGTCCAAGACCACACAGCCTGGGAATTAGTGAGAGTGGAATGAGATTCAAACCCAGGTCTGTCTCTGACTCCCACACTCAGGCCCCAATCACCCTGCCCCTAAAGTAGATGGGTTCTGATCCCCTGGCAACTGCAAAGTCAAAGCCAAATCCAGATTGAATGCATGGCCTCAGTCACGGCAAGCTGGGAACGAAATCCAAGGCTCCTTCTTTTGTCACCTGTGAGCTACTCTTGGCTTCTTGCCAGCTCTATATCACAGTCTAATTCTCTTTCTAGAGTCTCATCAACAAGGCTTCATTCTTTAACTCCTACTGTGTGTCCTGCCCAGAGGTGGCAGAAACCCCAAACCAGACTATAAAATCAAGGGCCAAGGCTGGCTCTGTGGATTCCCTTTGCCCACACTGCCCTGTGACTACAGCTGACCCAATTCTTTGCCCAGCAGCTTAAGTACTTAATCGGCTGGGCTGCTGGCCCCTTGCCATTCACAGCACTTGGTGACACACCTGAGAACCAGAGAGAGGAGCCTCTGTCTGGGACACTGGGGCTCACAAAATCACAGATACCAGGCATCTTCAAGGCCATGTCGTCTTCCCACCTGTCCATTTGATAGATGAGGAAACCCAGGCCCAGAGTGGGCAGGGAACTCACTCAAGGTTACACAGTTTGTTCATGGCAAAAAAAAAAGGAAAGCAAAACGTGCAGCTGGTGGAGGCATATATTTGAAGGGATCCCAGGAGCTGCCTGCTCCTTGCCCAGATGGAGACAGGCCCACAGCAGCAGACAGGTGTCCTCCATCCCCGGGAGGGAGAGGAAATGCTCTCCTGTGAACTCAGGCCTTCCTAACTTCCATGGTGCTCCAAGGTTTCAATGCACCCCAAACCCCAAGCAGCGCTGCCCCAGCCAAGTCACACTCTGGTCACGTCACAGGCCACATGGGCCTTTCGGGAATCAAGGACCTCAACGAAGCCTCCCAATCCCTGCAGATGAGTGATTATTAACCATTTATCCAATAAAGGCCTATTGCTGGGGATTAAGCCTTAAGCCAGCTGCACAACCAAGCATCATTAAAGACTTAACAAGGCTCATAAAAAGCATCATAGTGGCAGGCAGGAGAAAAACGAGGCAGAGGAGGGGCTTGGCCAGTGTGGGTCAAAGGCGGCATGGGAGGCCGACCCCAGAAGAGCAAGGACCTGGGAGAGTAAGGACCTTTAGGAGAGTAAGACCTGGGACTCTGAGGGTCACATGGCAGAGCCAGGATCTGACCCTAGATCTGCTGTTTTCAGCAGCAGAGACATTTGAAAACTGAAGCAGGATGCCACAGGGCAACATTCCCTCTGCACAGATGGAAAACTGCCCACGAGGGTGAGCAGGAGCCTGGGCCTCGACTGCCCAGACTGAAGGCATCAGTTCAGGCACCAGGATGATCCTCTGGACAGCCAGGTCTGAAAGATGGGCTTTCTAGTCCAGATCCTTGCTCTCAACCTTCAGGACCTGAGACAGAGCTGTGGGATATCAAGGGGTGGATACCTGGCTCCGTATAGACCCTGGCTGCTGCCTGCACCCTTGGACCTCACAAGCCCGGGGCTGTGCCTGCCTGGGACTTGGCCCTCAGCCTGTGGCTGGGAGAGGTGAAAACCTGAGTCTGGTTATGGTCATGCAAGCCAGGAAAGAGTGAAAAAGACAAGAAGCAGGGCAAAGCCAGCAGAAGGAGGACAGGGCAATAAGGGTGGGAAGCATAGGATTTCATTTCAAGCTGGGAATAGTCTTTTCCTACAACAAGGGGAAAAAGGTTAAAATAATGATGACAAGGACAGATGAAATTTTTGCCAAGCAGAATCTCAGTCTTCACTCTAGTCCTATGAAGTATGTAGTGGTGTAATCCCTGTTTTATTAGATGAGGAAACTGAAGCACAGAGAGGGCGTGTGACTTGCCCAAAGCCACATACCTAGTAAGTGGCTGAACTGGGACCCAAACCCAGACCTGTAGGACTTCACATGAAGTGTTCATTTGACAACATATTGGTTCATTTGACAACAGATTCTTACTATGTCCTTGACATCAATTTTATGACTCCAGTCAAATCCTCACACCCTCCTGTGCCTCAGTTTCTCATTTTGAGAAGTGACATGACCTTCTTGTCTCACCAGGTGGGTACATGTTCTTGGCAAATTCAAAGATGATAAAATACTTCAAGGACATAAGCTAAATTCAGATTGCAGTGTCCTCTTTGGAGCAATTTCAACTGGCCAGTAAGTATCCAATCTCCAAGCAAGAGGCAGTGATACTAACACAGTAATTAAAATAACTCTGAGCAATGTCATTCATACCAAGAGCTGCACAATTAAGTCTTTAAAGTCCTTGGGGGAAATCTGAGCATTGAACTTCTGATACTGCTTAGTTGCCAGAGAACTTTGCTCCCTGAATTGCTCAAAGCAGGCACCCATTAATTTTTTTTTTTTTTTACAAAGCCTATTAATCGTATTTTTAAAAATCACTATAATAATCTAAACTTTTCATCAGAGGTTTTATTTTATTAACAGATTATACCAATTTGCGCTTCTGAAGATTGTAGCTCTCTCCAAAAACAAAAAGCATCCAGAACCAAACAGCTTCTGGTTTCCTCACAAAGAGAAAGAAAGCCTTGCAAAGTGTTGCTGAGTATTTTGCCAGCACAGTCTTATCTCTGACAGCTGTTCAAGAGGCTGACCCCAAGGAGGTCAACATTTTTCCACTAAGTCATGCTTTTTAATCATCTAGGCAGCAGAAAAATGAGAGGTTGCAACTGCAATTTGGTGGGGTGGGGAAGGGAGCGGAAAAAAAGGACTCGAGTCAGACCTGCCAAGCACATGACAGGTAGGGTTGAGGCAGCCGGCCAGCCCGGTGTGCCGTTTGCCTGCAGCAACTGGCAGGCCTGTTCCAAAAAGAAACTGCTTCTAGTTAAACCTCTTAGCCCAAAGTGCTCCTTCTCTCTGGACTACAGAAAGGCAAAAAAAAAAAAACAAAAAAAACCCTTTTCTCTTCCCTCTGCAGCCAAAGCTCATCTTCCAAAGGTAAGAAAGAAAGATGGGAGACTCCAAGAGGTATTCCCCACCCCCACCACAGGGCAGGGCAGGTCTAGAAGCATCCATCCCCATCAGGGATTCTCCATCTGGGCCCTATACCTTCCTCCTTCTGCTGACACTGGACTCCACATCCAGCTATCACCTGGGCTGCCAAGGCTGATGGCTTGGTTGAAACTAGTGGACACCAAGCCCCCTCCTTTGCAGATGGAACAACATCTTGATGGTCACACACACCAAGAACATCCCGGGTCCTGCATGACCTACTATGTAGGAATATCAGATGTTCAACCTTGCTGATGCTGAGTTTTACCAGGAACACTTCTTCAGAGGCACCCTTTGCCAGGTGGCCTCCAATCCCAACAGCCTCTGAACATTTTGAGAACTCAAATGGATTCACTTGAATGGTAGAGGGAGCTTTAGGACCTTCGAGGAAGAAAACACAGTCTATGAGATGTAGTTTGGATGCCAATATATTGGAATTGCCGGCTGTACAGATCAGTGCTGTCCAATAGAGTGTTTGCAATAATGAAAATGTTCTCTATCTGTGCTGTACAATACAGTAGCCAGTAGCCACATGTGGCTATTGAGCACTTAAAATGTGGCTAAAATTTTAAATTTTATTTAATTTGTATTAATATAAACTTATGTAGGATATAAGTAAATAAAAATAAACATAAGTTTAAGTAGTTATATGAGGCTAGTGGTTGCCACAGGGGACAGATGATTAAGCATGAGTACAGGAAAGCAGGACTGTCCAGGAAAACTCGGGTTGTTTGTTGACTGACCAATACAGGCAGCCTCAGTGCAGAGAATTCTGGGGTTGAGGGTGTGCCTCTGGAGATGTGGGATTAGTCAGCAGGCTTTTTCTTAGGTGTAAAAGTTGGCAATGAGCCAGCTCCCATTTCACCCATCAAGGGGACATGAAAGGCAACACCATGGCTCTAAAGGCCTCAAATTTGGGGGCCTAGCTATCAACTGTCTGCCTCTAAGCCAGGTGACCTAAACTTAGGTGCCTTGGGGTGGGGACAGGAGAGAGATGCCTGGCACCTGGGATGGAAAATGTGAGCCATTCTGGTCGGAGCCTCCCTCCCTTGTGTGTGCGTGTCTCTCAGCCATCACCTCTGAGAGACAACCTGAG